CGTGCCTCCTTGCTTCGGCGTTGGCACCGTTGCGCCTGTTCTTTCCCTGCCGGAAGGGCCTCTGGCCGAGGCGGCCCCTCGGGTACACGGCGGAGAACGGCATCTCGCTCTTCTTCACCATCGAGCCCAGCACAAGCATGCGCACAGGGTGCAGCTTCCCGTCCGGCCCCAGAAAGGTACGAGGCGTGCGACTCTGCCTTTGCTGCTGCTCATGCGTGTTGCCGTTCTTCGCCCGCTTCGCCTCCTCCTCCTCCACTTCGTAGTGGATGTTCCAGCGGTCCACCTCGAAGGAGTTGGGACGCTCCAGTGTGCGGTTTTGCAGTCGCATGTAGAGCTTCGGCACGTCAAAGATGCTCCTCGTCGCCTTCGCAACACCACCAAAGCTCTCCACGTAGCCGACGCCAAACAGGATAGTGTGAACCTCCGGCGGCATGCGGTACGTCACCAAGTCGATGAATTCCCCGTCCCCCGTTGTTCCGAAGCCGTTGATGGCGTCCCCAGAGTGGCGTGCGGCGTGCGGGTACGTGGAGTGCAGCTTCTTCTGCTTCGGGTGGAGGTGGTCGATGTAGCGGTTGTCCGCGTCCAGCATCACCATGAAGGCATCAAGGTCGTGCTCGCCGTACCAACCAACGCCGAAGCGCACGTCCGAGAGCGGCTGGCCAGCGCTGCAGTACATCTCCTTCGTGAGCGGGTAGTCGCCCAGCCGCCGCACCGCGTCGCCACGTGAATTCGCGTCGACGCCGAGGACGTCCATCATGACGGGCAACGCGTCGACAAACGTGTAGCCAAACGTGCGGATGTTCAGCTCGCGCATGTCCCACAGCTGCTGCAGATGGTGCCCATTGTTGTTGCTGTCGTCGTTCTCGTCATCGCCCGTTGCGACAGGCGGCAGGCGGCACAGCATGCACGCGAGGTTGGCGGTGCCGTTGCCGGTGGGGCGCTTGATGTCAATCGTGCCCACCCGCTCATTCGTCGTCTCGTTCACCACCTCGAGCTTCACCGACGGCAGCGTCGTGAAGTCGGCGCCGGTGTAACTCGTCACGACGAGGAAGATGACGTCCGCCTCGGACGGGATCTTGTGCATCACGAAGGTGACGGACTCGTCGCAGAATTCGCGGTGCGGGCGGCGGCGGAGCTGGCGCCCCTCCTCGTCGAACACGTCACCGTTGCCGCGGTTCTCGTCGAGCGCCTCCTCCACCACGTCGAGCTCCGCCTCCTCGTAGATCCGCGAGAAGATCGCCTCGGTGACGCCAAGACGCTTCAGCTCGTCGCGGCTGCGGCTGCCGGTGCCGTGCCGCAGCTGGTACTCGCGGCG